TCCCTACATGGAAAAAGGTTATTGTAAAATATGCCTCCAACATTACTGTACCATCTGCTATACAGCACTTGGAGGCTGCTAACTTCTCTGTAAAAGCACGGGCTTTTTAGTGTTTTCAACAGAAGGAGTTCGCGAAATAAAAGGAATCACTCAAAGGGTTAGGTCACACCTTTTGGATCATGCATGAGGTAGCACACACATGTTGGTATGCATACAGTATTATATCAAACTTCAGTCATAAAATAATAAATCAAACTACCCGTAAGGCAAACACTGAAGACTGCCTACCCTAAATACTATCGCGTGAATTTATCCAGTGCTGAGGAATGCCCTGCAGCGTTGCCGCTGCTAGCTGTGTGGGCCTGTGTCCAGCTCAGCCTTTCAGCATGTCCCTGCTGGCCCTTGGTCACCATCATCACCTGGCACTGCTGCACATCACCGATCAGTCCTTGTTTTCCTCATGTGGGCAGCACAGATGCTGGTGGAAACCCAGTTCCAGAAATTGGTAACATCTGAAAGCATTTAATGGAAAAAAACCTGTCCTGTAGAAGAGCATTTGTGGGAAATAAGGGGATGTGGAGTTCACAAGAATATTTCATCTTGGAAGAAAAAAATAAAACAACAAAAAGATTTTACTGCACTCTCAAACCCTTTCATTTTTAAAAAGATAGCTTACGTTAAAAGCTATGGAATTTCTATGTGAAAAGTCATTTCAAAGAAACCCCAACGTTTTCAATCTAAAAGAAGATAAACAGGTTCAGAAATCAGCCTGTATCCAGCACAAGAGAGTTGGGAGCTGACCTCTGTTCTCATTGTGTGCTGCTCCTTGGGTCATCCCAGCCCCAGCTGCTCTGCCTTAACCTTCGTGGCCCTGGAGCACCTCCCTGCTTCCCATCCTGATGTCCTGATGCAGCAAGGACATCCAGCCTGGCCCCAGTTAGCTCCTCTCTGTGCCTCCTCTCCCACCCCGGTGTTTGTGCACAGACAGAGGGAATCAGCCCATATTGCCTGTTGGATTTGGCCCCAGGAACTCTACTCTAGACTAAGTTCCACCCTGGGTTCAGAGGAGACATGAGTTAGGGCCACCCAATTTCAGACAGCTTAAACTCACAGGGTTAGCATGACACAACTTGGAATTAGTTGTTTGTATTTTCAGGCTACCTTATACAGCAAATAAACACAGCTGTGCACTGCCAGCAGATCCATTTCAAACGGCTCATAGCAAAATTGTGTGTGCAGCTCAGCTGACCTCTCTCAAGGGTGCGACTACTGGGATACAGAGGAGTTGGTACCCCATGGTTCCTCTGTATCCATCTATGAGCTTCTTTCTCTGTGTTCTTTCTGATAAATGACAAAGAGCGAAGCAAAGCCATGAGATGGAGATGTCTTAGATGTCTTCCTAAATTAGGATAAAATTAAGGATTTGAAGGTGTTTTTTGCAACTTCACTTGTATTCAATAGCAACAAGAAAACCTCCAAACAGAGGAGACAGAGACCTGGAAAGAGGTTCCTCCATTTTCCTCTGCTGGAGAGATAGCTTGGAAAAATCCTAAATAACAGTGGGGCTGAGAGATTAATATCCTAGCCAGTCTCATTCTAGCTTTTATTGTTCTGATATTTGTCTTTATTCATAGAGCCCCCTTCCCTCTGCACCTCCAAGCAAATCCCTCGCTGCAGTACAATACGCTGCTTTCCTGGGAAACATGGGCAGCATTTCAGGTGGGCTGATGTGAATCTGATGGGTCCATGCTGTTAATCTCAGAGCTAAGCAAAGCAAGCATTACAGACAAACTCTTTGGGGTGCTGCCATTCAGGAATATCTCAGG